GCTAACATGATTAGATTATTAGTCCCTTGTGTGTCTACAGCCTCACAAACTGTAGGACCAGCCTTCCCCTTGTTCCTCTCCTTCCTCCAGAGGTTTGACTCTCAGGGATCCGTTTGTGGTTCAGAACTAAACCAGGGGTTTTGTGGGCGTTGTAGAAACAACCGTCTGTGGAGTGTTTTGAGCTGAAACTTGTGTTGGATCACAGTAACCTGTTGGGACCTCTGAAGGTGAACGACTGGACAGAAAAGACGACGAACATCGATGTGAATGTGAACCACTGTGAAGCCTCATGAGTGTGTTTGATAAAGACGTGAACGTTCGCTATCGGAGCGAACACACTTCCTCTGATGTCGTCTCTTCCTGCCTTCCTGCTTGTGTTTACATGTCGGCCTCCTCTCTGTCGTCCAACCAGTGGGCGAGATGCGAGCTCCGTCCATGTCGGACTTCCTGTGGGGCCTGGAGAACTCCGGCTGGCTCAAACACATCAAGGCTGTGCTGGATGCTGGAGCCTTCATCGCCCGAGTGAGCAAACCGCCACACAAACACGTCTGATGCTGGTCCGGCTTTGCGGAGCCGATCACAACATGGAGAACGTCAAAAGTAGGGACGTCCTGGTCCGATGAAAGCATCTCTCGCTGATCGGTACCGACTCTAACCTCAGCGAAGGACACGACGTATACGACTAAAATCAAACTGAATATAAACACACATTTATTGTAAACTTTGAGCAACAGACTAAAATAAACCCCTGAAACCCGCTTTAGGAGCAGCACTGCTCCCTGAACTCACCGGTTTTTATGGTTTTTGTCTCTTGGATCAAGCAGAATGAAAAACAGCAACACATTCCTGGAGTGTTTCAGGTCTCACGCTGCTGTGTGTCTGCAGGCGGTGGCCGACGAAGGCGTCAGCGTTCTGGTCCACTGTTCTGACGGATGGGACCGGACCGCCCAGGCCTGCTCCGTGGCCAGCATCCTGCTGGACCCGTACTACAGAACCATCAGAGGGTTCATGGTGAGGCTCACAGTGCCGAGGACTTCTCACTGAGTGTCTGAGGCTCCTCTAAGGTCCTAAACTCCTGTTTCCTCCTCGTCCCGTCCAGGTGCTGATAGAGAGAGACTGGGTTTCCTTCGGACACAAGTTCTCCCACAGGTCAGTAAAAGTCTGGACCTTTTGTTTGCATGCTCGTTTGAAGACGCTCCATTAGCCGGTTCCTCTGCTGGTACCGTCAGCAGCGAGAGACAAGCAGTGAAATTAAATCAGTGTCATTCCTAAAGCTTCCCAGCTGAGAACTCAGATCAACCAAACTGTGTTATTGACCCGACAGTATTATTTATTATAGAAATTACAGACTTCAGTTAAGAATCCACAAAGTTCTGCAGAAAACCCAACATGGCGCCGCAGAGATCCACAGTGAGAACCGACCAGTAGTCCAGCCTGGTTGTGTTTTTGTTGCTTCTACACAGAACTGGATCTTAAAGTACGCACATGTCGGCGAACGTATCGTCAGATAGAGCAGCATGTTCTGGAACCAGCTTCTGTCTGGTGCTTACCACTGCAGGGTACTGGTTCAGGTAGTCCAGCTCTTATGGCAGTCACACATCCAGCCATCATCTACACCTTGATCCTCACCAGGGGGGCTGGAGCCGACCCCAGCTGACTCAGGGTGAAGGCAGGACAGTCACATGACTCACAAAAGCTGCACGCCGACCAGAGATAAGAAAAATAACACGATAGAATAAATGAGATAAATAAAGGTGCAGACCAAAGGGCCATCGGGACATCTGTCACTTAGAAAAATGAGAAAAATGTGAATGATGTAGCTCCAGGCAGAGACATGTTGTCATGTGGTCCAGTCTGGTGCTGACGGGCGCTAACGGCAGACCCGCGCCCCTGCAGGTACGCTCACCTGGACGGCGACCCCAAAGAGGTGTCTCCGGTCATCGACCAGCTGCTGGAGTGCGTCTGGCAGCTGTCGGAGCAGTTCCCTTGTGCCTTCGAGTTCAACGAGCGCTTCCTCATCACGCTGCACACCTACGTCTACTCCTGCCAGTACGGCAGCTTCCTGGGGAACTGCCAGAAGGAGCGCCGGGACCTCAGGTAGGAGCTCACCTGGAGGAGGTGTTGAGACGCTTCGTTCCAGCGTCAGGAGGTCTGTCAGATAAAAAGCAAACTCACAGGTTTGAGTTTCCACAGCGAGAGCATCTGATGGAGCGCTTTGCTCTGATCTAAGGCTCCCTGAAGGTGTTTTAATCCAGTTTGCTGACGTGCAGACTGCAGCAGCAACGTGAGCAGGACCGAGACGAGAAGAAACCCAGTTAAAGGGCTGCAGAATCAATTCTATCTGGATCAGAATCAAGATTTTGGTTCCACACAGTTTAATAGACACAATCAACTGAGATCAAAATCAAACGGTGCATGTCAATAAGATCACTTTAGTCAGTCTTTAAGTCATTTTGGGGAAAGATTTTGAGTCGTTTGGGCAGAATTTGACTCGTTCTGCACCAGTTTTAAGTCGTTTTTTGTTTTGTGGGCGATTCTCAGCTCATTTTGGACAGTTTTGACATTTTTTGGTCACGCTCTGCAGCATTTTGAACAAATTCCAAGTCGGTTTGGACACATTTCAAGGTTTTTTTGGACAATTTTTGAGTGATTAAACAGTTTTGATTCATCTCGGGCAAGTTTCAAGTATTTCTTTGTCTCCTGAATCCCCCCAGTTTTCCTTAGAATGATTCCAAATCATGATTATAATCTGCTGAGGTTTCCTGTATAGTTTCACATTACAGTAAATATCAGTGTCGGTTTTTGGTCAGTTTATTCGTTTTGTTTTCCTGTTTAGTCGATAAATAAGAAAAGATTCTGTGTGTTGCGATGTGACGGACGAAGAAAGAAACGAGTTTACTGTCTAGTGTCTCGTCACGTGCAGATTATTTGATTAAATCAGTCAAAAATAAGAAATCAAGTTGAGTAAAGTGCTCACGGATTTATAGAATAATTAAAACCGATTGACTAAAAACAGTTACAGAGACGAGAGATAATGAAGACAGAAGCATCTCAGAGATAAACGATGAAATAAAGACGGGACAAATAGAATCAGGTGAATAAATATACAGACAGTTTAGAGCTGCCGTCATGACAACAGGATTTACCAGAGATCAGTGGACAGAAGTGGAAAGCGTCTCCGTTAATAACCGCTAACGAGGACGAACACGTCGAGCTCCGTGTAGCTGTTTGTCGTCCTCCAGCAGCGCCGACCGGCTGCTTCGAGCGTCACCTGCACTGGAGCGGGACGAACAGATTCATTCCCCTGCTGGCCTCTGGTCAGCGTTAACGTCGACGGTTTCATCTGCAGCGTGACTGATGTAAAAAGTTCTGTTCTGTTTGTGTCCAGGCTCCGTGAGCGGACTCACTCGGCGTGGCCTCAGCTGTGGAAGGACCGGTCCGACTACGCCAACCCGCTGTACCAGGCCGAGCTGAGCCAGAGCCAGGGCGTCCTGAGGCCCAACACCTCGCCCTACTGCTTCAAGTCAGTCCCGAGCCGTCCTGCCGAGTCCACGAGTCCACGAGTCCACGAGTCTCCTCCTCCTCCGACGTAGAGACTCAGAGTTTATCAGAGTTCCACCTGACGGCTCGCTGCACCTCAGCTCGTTTAAAAGACGAGACAAGAGGGGAAACATTTAAAGAATGAACTATAATAATGATCAAAATACACACAAGCAGCAGTCCTCCCCGTCCGTCACAGCATCGGTACCGACCAGAACCACCTCTTATGTTTCTGTGGTGATTAATGCACCAGCATGTAGAAGCTCTTTAACTGTGCTCAGATATAATCATTATTGTCGTCCCTAAACTGTCAGACTGACTGTTTTACAAAAAAAGGTTGAAGTTTGAATCATTCTGGACGATTCAGGAGTCATGTCAGAGCAGTTTTAACGGGATCTGGACGATTCTTAACTATTTGGATGAACTTTGAGCCGTTTTGGACAAATTTTGTGCAATTTTTGTAATTTTGGACGAGTTTTAAATGTTTTATGGACACATTTTGAGTCATTTTGGACAAGTTCCAACTCATTTTAGATTATTTTTTAATTAATTTGGTCAATTCTTGACTTAATTTGGACAAATTTGGAGCAATTGGACACTTTTAAGTACTTTCAATTCACTTCAGACCATTTTTGTGTGATTTTTTTTTGGCCAGTTTTGATTCATTCTGAACAATTCTAAACTCACTTAGAACAGATTCAGAGTTGTTTGAATCATTCTGGATGATTCAGATGTAATTCGGACATATTGTGTGTAATTTATGTGACTCTGGACAAGCTTTAAATGATATTTGGGCAGATTTCAAGCCATTTTGAACAAGTTTGAACTCATTTTAGACAAGTTTTTAATTAATTTGGTCAATTCTTGACTTAATTTGAACAGATTTTGAGTCGTTTTGGACGATTCTTAACTCACTTTGGATGATGTTTAAGTCAGTAACCGACATGCTGAGCTTCAGAAAGTCTCACGTGTAAACAGGATGAAACTGTCTTAGATCAGGTCGGACAGAAACTTAACCACATGTGTGTAATTTCTGAAAACAAATCAGTTTTTTGTCCTGAAAGCTGCAGAGACTCTGATAAACAGGGTTTGGTTTCTTTGACTCTCTACACCAGATGAGATGGAGAACTTATGATGGAGACACTAATCGATCAGATCAAATCTTAAAGTTCTGCTGGTCCAGACCCGTCTGATCACTGTGACCACCAGTTGTCGTTGCTGTTTCCTCCAGAATGTGGAAGGGTCTCTACAACCACGTGGAGAAGTCGGCGCCTCCTCGCCAGTCGCCCGCCGACTACCTGGCCGCCGTGAGGGAGGAGTCCCAGCAGCTGGAGGAGGAGCTGACCAATCACCAGGAGGTACCGCCAGGAGGAACCGCCCACCACCACCACCAGCACCACCAGCACCCCCAACCGGGCTCCAGACAAGGCATCCAGCACACAGACACCCTGTCAGACACCTCCGCAGCTGTCCACCTCCACCTGACCTCCACAGCTCTCACATGTCTGCACAGAACAACGTCAGGCTGTTTTAGTTCAGCCTGCAGAAGTCATTTCACACTTTCAAATTATATGAATCAATATGATTTCACTGAGCAAAGTAGTAAGAGCTTCACATTCTGTTCAACACGTTCTGTTTGAATTCATCCTCACATTTGTTCCATTAACTTTCCAGCTGTGTGTGTTTCCTAGAACACAACACTTCCCTTAATATTACAACACATGGCTAGTGTGAAATACGCTCTGATCGTGAGCTTCATGTGAAATCCAACATTTGTTTACAGTAAACATAAACAGGAGCGTACACGGAGGACAACACCAGCGTCAGGCAGGAACACTGGATTCCTGGGTGCTGAATGATGCTCCCAGAAGTCCGATGTCACGTCCACGTGTTGCTTCATTCCCCAGAACAGCAGCTCCTCGGCCTTTATCGTCTAAAACATTCAGCATGGTGCACATAAATCCTCCTGTTTCAGTCGACTCTGTCGTTTTGTTGATCGTAGAAAAGCAACAAAACAACCTGAAGGCGGCCATGTTTTCACACAACCAGATTCATGTATTCAGTGTGAACACAACAGAATCATTCTCCTGGTTTCTGATCGCCCTGGTTCGGTCCAGCAGGGGGCGCTGTTCCACCACAACACAACACAGAGGTTTTATTTCTATGTGCACATTGATTTAACTGTTTATCTGCAGGTTACATCCACGTTTGAGGAACTTTAGTCTGTTTGAAAGAGTTCTTCTGAGCAGTTTGTTCATGTGTCGGAGGAGGAACGATCCTCAGTGAGATCTGATGTGTCAGCCAGACATGTGGGAAATGAGAACCGTTGCTTTGAGGATTCATACATTTTGCATTTTCAATGATACAAACCAGAGAAGAAGAAGCAGAGTCATCTCAGGAAATCTCACTTTTAGTGGGAAAACAACCTTACAGACTATTATTAATAATCCAGAGCAGTTATGTTATTCTTAAATCTGAAAACAGAACTAGATGGTCCGGGTCGCAGGAAACATAAAACCGGCCAGTAGCTGATTCAGAACATCTCACTGTAAACAGAGACCAGGGCAGAACATGAAGTCAGCAGGTAGGATGAGCTGGAAGTCCGTATTCAGTGTGGATCTATTTAAACCTGCTAGATCTCCATGGTAACTGATGCTCTGGAGCTAGGTCTCCATGGTAACCGATGCNTGGAGCTAGGTCTCCATGGTAACTGATGCTGTGGAACTAGGTCTCCATGGTAACCGATGCTCTGGAGCTAGGTCTCCATGGTAACTGATGCTGTGGAGCTAGGTCTCCATGGTAACCGATGCTCTGGAGCTAGGTCTCCATGGTAACTGATGCTGTGGAGCTAGGTCTCCATGGTAGCTGTGGAACTAACCTGGTTCAGGTTCTGTTCAGAGTTCAGATTTAGTTCTCCCTTTAACCAAACCGTTTCCTGATGATGGTGTTTTCTGAAGCATCGCGTTGCCATGGAAACCTACATGTGTTCAGCTGCTGATGCAGAGATCACATGAACGTGTTTCTATGTTTGGTCCATTTACTCTGCTGGTCCTGCAGCTGATAGATCACTGATTAGAACATTGATTATCTATTGGTATTTATTACAGAGAACATTCAATCAGGAGCATTGATTCACTCTGATTGGGCCAAAAGTTAAAGTGATTTCCTGCTTTATGGGACAGAGTCAGACCTGAATGAGCTTCAGCACCAGATCAGGTTTAAGTGTGTGTGTGTGTGTGTGTGTGTGTGTGTGTGTGTGTGTGTGTGTGTGTGTGTGTGTGTGTGTGTGCAGAGGATAGCAGCTCTGACCGGTCGGCCAATCACGTGGGAGAAGCCGTTGGTTCTGAGGAGGACGACTAACCGGCCGCGGCAGCGTCACAGCGGGCCGGACCCGCCCACCGCCTACACGGAGCCAATCACCAGCCCTGCACAGGACCGCGGCCACACCCCCTCCTCCCAGCCAGCCAATCGGAAGGCCCAGCGCACAGACCCCGCCCTCACTCTGCCTCTGGGCCCGAAGAGCGCCGAGCCCGACGACCTGTCCACCTGCAGCGACCTGGAGTCGGGCGTCGCCGACCTCAGCAGCCGGTCCTCCAGCGGTGGCGATGACGGGAAGGAGCCGGAGCTGGAGTGAGGCTGGGACTGGGAATACTGGGAGTACTACTGGGAATACTGGGAATACTTCAATACTACTGGGAATACTTCAATACTACTGGGAATACTTCAATACTACTGGTAATACTACAATACAACTACTACTGGGAGCTGTGGGAGGGAGGCAGAGGCTGCTGACTGGAGGCAGGTGGATTTATCTCTTAGAGTGATTCCTCACCGACTCTTTTTGGAGCCATTTTTTTTTTTAAATTCAGGTTTTCGTTGCACAACCAGACGAGCTGCTTTTTCTGTTTTTTAAATTAAATTAAATTAAATACGTGGAAGCTGTTAGTTTGTATTTGAAGGGATCAGCACTGTGACGAGAGACTGAAGCTGAATCTACGTTTGTCACAACCGACTCGTTTTGGAAGAAGTCCTGAGCGACTCGTTAGAGGTGTTTAATGGACTCTCAGTCTGAGGAGCTGCTGGTCACTGAGTAGAAACACAACTAGGTCACATAAATCATCATGTTTGCTGATGTGGAGGGAATGAGATGGATGCTCCTGGTGTTAACTCTCGATTAGACGCTCGTTAAAGTAAATCTACGTTTCCTGGCACAGCGAGGATCCACTCAGACACTCGTGGACTCGAGAAATTTGCGTCGCTTGAACGCCTCATAGCAGCATCGAGGTTTAACACCAGGAGGAGCCTCTAAACGTCTGAATCCCTTCTCCTCGCTTACATTCAGGCCATTATGTTCAGTTTTTTTTCCTCCAAACTCTTCAAATCACAGACGAGCAGCTGAAGAAAAGACGTGTTTTAGCAGCGACGAATAAGGGAACAGATGTACGGTCTGAACTAAATGTGAACAAATACGAGACGTTTACGACGACGGCTGGAGAAAAAGGGTTTTCTTTTGCCGTTTTGTGTGCAATTATTTTTACTCTGAAGCCATCTCCTGTTGTTGTTATCCTGCTGCTGAGGAGCCGACGTGGCGTTCTCATCCTTGGACCAGGCGGCGGCGACTCTTCACATTCCCACGCTGAGCAGCAGCGACTGAACTTTGGGGGTTTATTCTGAGAAATTCTGTTCATTCCACGTGTTGTTGTGTTTAAAGGCGACGACGAGCCGAACAAAGAGGGAACCAGAACCTGAGCTTCTTCTTCTCCTCTGTAGATCTACACCGTAGCCTGTAGCGTGTCCGTGCAGAGTGTGTGTGTCCTGTATCATCGATGTACATGATCTATCAATAAAGGCACCGTCAAAGGGACCCAACGGCGGCTCTGCTTTCATTTATCCATCGGCGAAGGTCACAGGGTCAGTGGTGGTTACAACTCTTTGTGTCTGTGGTTGTTTTTAGTCACGTTTTGCATCTCATTAGTGAATTTTTCTACATTTTTATTTCTTTTTTGGGGGTTTAGTTGGTGTTTCTATTTAATTTTATGTCACATTTTAGTTGTGTGTTTCCTTCAGACCATTATGTGTCTCGTTGAGGTGACATTTGGGATGTTTTGTGTCTTGTTTCGGTTGTTTTTCGTCTCTTTGTGGTTGCTTTTATTTAGTTTTGTGTCCCATTTTGCTCGTTTTACATCCGTGGTCTTCTCAGCAGCTCTTGCAGCCTTTCTGCGTCCCTTCCAGGTCACTTTCTGTCACTTTTACATTATTTTATGTCTCATTTTGGTTGTTTTTCATCTCATTTGGGAATTTTTCTGCACTTTTACACAAATGGAAGATTCACTGTTTGTCTCCATATTGTACCACATACATGTCGACCTGTTAGCGTGTTGTGTGTTTTTAAGAGTCACAACGTAACCAGCAGCCTGCAGACACACAACATCCCACCAGGTTCAGGCTGACAGACTTTATCTTTACTGTAAAAACAAAACAGGACAACAAGAGGATTGTTCCCTTCATTTATTTTCCACAGTTCACATATTTTTCAGTAGAATCGTCGTAAAAACATAAAAACTTTTTTCTAAGTGCCACGAACGTCACATGACTGCGTGTTATAAAGGTTACGACACACAGGCTCAGACTGCATGAACTCGTAAAACCGGCCGACGCACCACGACCTCTACGGCAGGAAACGTAAAACCAGAATACGAGAGAGAAGAACGCCGTCGTCTACAACCAGAGCAACGGTGACTGAAGGGTGACGGTGTTGACTCTGTTGGACTGAAGCAGATGATCGTTTCCTAGACGGACTGGTCTGGGTCGTGAGGAAAAATTTTCCCCCTCGAGTCAGAACAAAAACTCAGAAAGTCGTCAGAAACTCTGGTGTACGAGGTGTTGACGTCGAACGCTGCCGTCAAACAGAACTGGAGACCATGACAGAGAGTAGCATGCACCAAATGTTTGGCATCCAAGTCGTAGGAACAAGCTGCAAGACAAACAGCAACACGGATGCTACTGATGCTAACTGTTTAGCACGCTATTGAGTCTATTGTAGAGAATGAAAAGGAAAAATCAGGAATACCTCCATTTATCACAGATTAAAATCCAATATATGATCTTTCACCGAAACATGAACCTATAAAATACATCACAACTTTCACATGATTTCCAGTTCTGAGGAGATAAAGACCACAAGAGGGCGCCGTTCACACGGATCTTCTCATAAAGGCAGCAACGTTCGCTCGATGGCCAGAAACTTTGGGTTAAAGGTACAAATTCACTTGTTTAGCTTGTTGGTTTCCACGCAGAGTGACGTAGATCAGTTAGAAAAGTGATTGATTACTGATCACGATCGATCAGAGCAACATGATGGTGCTCAGACCTTTGTCTTTTCTAACCAGTGCCAACTAAGAAGTTGCTCCAGTCCCAGGATGTAACAGCTGGTTTGACGAATATAACAGATCAGATCAGAATCGGACGTTAAAAAAAAACGTTTTTTTTTTTTAAACTTGCAGAAGGTGAACGACGGAACAAACCGTAGGCGTGACGTGGATGGAAACGGATTCTGTTTGAGTCCCTTTAAGTGGAAGCCTGAAGTCCGTCAGAGTCTCTGAGCGTCCGAGGCTCTCAGGAGAAGAAGAGCTGCCGACAGAGCTGCAGGGTCTGCTCCGGACTCGACACCTCGTGGCCGATGGTCCGCGGGTCGCTGTAGATCTCGTAGTCGTTTCCTCCCTGAAACGAAACCGTGAGAATGAAGAAGCTTTCTGAAGTGTTGGGTTCAAACGAGCGGCTGAGGTAAATGAAGCGTGACGCAGCAGCTGAACGTTTTCTGTCCACCAGAGTCTGACGGGAAACATGTCGGAGGAGCGAATACCGCGATAATGAATTAAAATGTTGTGTCATGTCACAGTTTTCTACGTTCTGCTGAAACCTGAGCACAGTTAACGCTCCTTTCATCTGCTCAGGTTCACGTGTACGGTTCATATTACAGATCTTTACTGTTTGTTTCTCATTGACTGGAGAAGGTCGTCTACTTTGGTATTTTCCTGACAACAATAAAAGCTTAGTGATGGTGAGCTGCTGAGAACGGCACCAGAACCTTCCAGACGTTCAGCCTCCAGCCTGCAGGACTCATGTGGACTCTCTGGGCTCCGTCATGAAACCAGCTGCTGGTTCCAGTCTGCTGGAGTCTGAACCGCCTGCTCCGGATGAGCTGGACCAACGTGTTCTTTCACATTTCACAACAGCGTTTAAAAAAGAAAAGCTCCTGCAGTCGGAGGGAAGCTTCACCTGTTCTCGTTTATTTGATCTTAAATCATTAAACTTTTAGAACTATTTCAGCTCGACTCTCGGATTTGCCTGAAACGTCCTCGTATCATGAAGCCTGGGTACGTTTGCCTTAAAAAACACTTTTGCTAATTGGATGCTTTTGTTTTTTTTTTTACTACATTTGCCCGTCGACCGTGTTTCAGCAGGTTCTGAAAGTTGAGGCTGTTTGAACAACGATATCTGAGGAACTATTAAAGATAGAAACCAGATTCATTGAATCTCAAATCATCACATTTTTGGATCAATTTCTGCTCGACCATCTCTTATTTGTCTGCAGCATAAATAATGAATATTTATAAAGATGTTTGTACAATTTTACATCCATAAATCAAATACTGTTTGAAATATTTAAAGAAAAAAAAGTTTCCTGTCGATCTGCGTTCAGCAGGTTTTTGTTTCTCACATTGAGGTCTGAGGCTGTTTGAACGACAACGTCTGAGGAACTGTTGACGATAAGAACCTGAAACGTTCTGCTGTTTCTCATCACGGCGCTGGTTCAGGATCTGTCAAACTGAACGGGTCGATCAAATTAATGCCTGATTATGGATTAAATTAAATATGAGCAAAAGCTGCCGTGAAAAGTTCCATCTTTGAGCACGTTAATGAAAAGCTGACCGTACAGAAGCGAGCTGCTGATGTTCTCTGGTCACAGCAACACAGAACTCAACATGAGAACACTTTAATGTGAATGTCACACAGACAAAGAGGAAGTCACCTGAGCTGAACTTTTACAACTTCTGACAAAAACAAAAGAGCTTTAAAATGTTTTTTTTTTCTTTCAGACGACACTTTGTGGGAATAAACGTTGGCTTTGAGTCATTTCTTAGTGATTCAATGCAGAGAATGAATCTGAATCAGCGACGTGATGAGAAACGTATCTCTAGTAGTTCCTCAGATGTTTTTGTACAAACAAAAACGTGCTGAAAGCAGCTCGACGGCCAGTTTGACTGTGATGAAAGTGAATCAGAGTCTGAAGGTGAAACGTCCTGAAGCTCATTTCATCATCACGAGTGATTGAACTCTTTAGATTCTTATTTTAGTCTCTTTCCACTCGAGTCCCAGACTTTTATTTTCTATGAGACACACTTCTCATAATTTTGTTCTCTGAGGAACATTCAGGAACAGACTTTCCTCCTGCATGAGTCGAGCCGTCGCTACGATCGGCCGTCCGGCTGCTCGCTGACATTCTCATGCGCCTCCTGCAGCCGTTACAACACCCACCGGTTTGGTTTTGTCTCCAAAGAAGTGGATGGTGGAGTAGGCGTCCTTCTCAACGATGCCCAGGCAGTACCTCTTGTCCCAGCCGTCAGGAAACACGTCGAAGCTGATCTGGCCTCCTGCAGGGACACAAAGCAGCACATTTACATGTCGGAGCAGCTCGTCTGTGGCTCGTCACGCCTCGTTCTGCCGGAGCCGCAGGTTCTGTTTCAGTCACTGTGAACAGACGCCGCTCCGTAGCCGCCAGCACTCACCGATGGAAAACGAAAGTCCTTTTCCTTTGAACTCTTCCTTTAAAACAGACACAAACTTCTCCCTGATTTTCTCTCTCTGTAAGAAGCAGAAAAGAAAAACTCACACGTCTGCAGACGGAGTCAGTTTCTGATATTTTCGACCTTTTTACTCCAAACTTTACCACCCCAGCCAAAAACAACCCCAAGGAAACCTCTGCTCATACTTACTTTATCTCCAGGTTTCAGTGCAGTGAGCTCATTTCCATAATAACTGGACTTTTACACGTGCATTCTGTCACGATCTCACTAAACTTTGAATGAATAATATGCAGAAAGAAGCAAAGTCAAAACTGAAAATGAGTTTTAAATGTGAGTTGATTTTAGAAAAGAAGTGCCAAAACGAGACCTTTATCAGAGCCAGAAAGAATTACGACATCTTCAACTAGCATTTGGTTCCATCAGGAAAAAAAATAATAAATATGTGAGATTTCATAGAAATCACTTGATTCTGCATCTCTGCTTGAACAATTACCTAAAAATCAACCTTTTGCATGAAACAGATTCTGTAAAAAAATAAAAATTCTGCCTCAGTGCAACAAAGAAGCTGCGACGGACTCAGCTGTGACCAAACAACAAACACCCAAAACGTGTGAAATGATTTCTGCACATTCAGTTGATGGATTTACGGACTCAGGACTGGATTCGGTACCTGATCGAGCTCGTAGAACTCCTTTCGTTCCTCCTGCGTACAGCTGCGGCCGATCGGCGAGATGTTCAACATGCCGTTACGAAACTCAACGAACGTGCCCCTGCAAACACAAGACGACGCTCAGCGAACACAGCGAACAGCGTCTGCAGCTCCCCAGCAGGCTGCCTGTCACACCAGCTACAGAACACAAAGAAGTTCTGATGGAGACATTCTGTCGGTACCTCTTCTTGGGCAGCTTGATCTTGGCCATGTAGTTGAGACAGAAGTTGATGAAGTCTTGCAGAAGTTCTTCTCCCATGTGAGCCTGGATGGACTGAAAAAACAAAAACAGACCCGGTGAGCTTCCTGTCACATGAGCCGACACCACCACGTTCAGGTTCTGCACCGGCTTCACCTGCACAGAGAGCAGCTGTCCGTTCTTGTAGGCCACCAGCCCGTTCTCAGCAAACACGTAGTCCACCTTCTGGATCACTGCACAGCAGAACCAGCAGCAGAGTCAGTCTGATGTGCAACAAGCCACCGGGTCGACATTCACCTGTTCTACGGCCTCACCGTCACTGCCCAGCTGCTCCTGGATCTTACTGAGGTCCGACCCTCCCACGACGCCGACCCGAACCCGAGTCTTCAGCTCCTGCAGGAACTCTGCAACGTCTGGAGTCACGACCTGAAAACAGGATCGCACAACTTACATCCACCCACACAACCCTGCAGACTGAAGCTATACGCTATAGTCTTGTGTGAGTTGTGCATCCTGAGCTGAACACCAGAACCACTTCTGGTAACTTTGTGTTTGCATGCCAGTTAAAACAACAAGCGCTCACTTTCCTACTTCAGCTTTTGTTCCTAAAAACCCTGATGTCTGTGGCAGTTATGGTGTGATCGCACATCAGCCGTTCTGTCTGTTGCACAAGCACACTGATGTAGTAAAACCTGTTGTGTCACAGTGTCTTTGCACAATCATTCTCTGATCACACGCTGCTCCTGCAAAGTCAGAGGCAGCTGTTCTTCTTCTACAGCTGCTTTATTCACCTCTGGTTTTGCAAAATCTACTTTATTAGTGTTGCAGTGTAACTTTAAATGTGACATTATATGAGCTGAGCTGGTTCAACCTGTGAAAACAACCGGATCGGTTGTAATGTCGGACGCAGCAGATAAAATAAGGCCCGGTTTGACCCATATGAATATAAAACAGGATCATTTCTGTTTGAACACCTGCAGCGCATCTGACGTGACAGGATTTTCAGTCGTTAGCATGATGCTAGCAGAATCAAATAGATTAGCATCGGCGCTGTTTAAGCTAGCTGAGTATTTGTTGACCACGAAATGTGAGTTTTTAAATGTACGACATACAAAACGTGCCACAGATTTACACAGATTCATAGTTAGCTTGAATGCTTCCCTCAAAAGGTCCAAAACTACAAAAAAAAACTATCCGAGTGTTTCAGTTTTTGCATTCCGTCAGACACTTCCGGGTATCACAAGAGGCTAGAATCCAAAAATAAAAACTTAAAATCGATTACTGGTTTATTATAGAGCCACAGGATTGCTAACTTTAGCTGACAGGACAGTTTATCACAGTTCAGCCGCTAACCGTGTTAGCTGACGTTAGTTAGCGGAACCATTTAGTTTCTGCGGAGCGTTTTAAGGGTCGGACGAACTACAACAACAACGTGGAGCCGGAAGTTGCGGTGGCAGGAGTTGCTGTCATGTGTTTCTCTGAATGGACACACACTCACACTCACACACACACAAACACACACACACACACACCTGTCTCGCGGCTGTCAGCGTGCCGTCCACGTCAAAGAGGCAGAGCGTGCTCGTGTCCGCGGTGGCGTCACTCATGTCGGTGCCCGTCTCCGTGTTCCTCAGTGTTCCTCTGTGTTCTCGGTGTTCTTTCTGTAGTTTCTACAGTCCAGCTGCTCAGAACTACAACTGCTGCTGTCGCATAGCAGAACAGCTTCTTCTTCTTCGGTGGTGTTTCAAATGTAGCGCTGAACTGCGTGTCGCCACCTGCTGCTGCGGAGAGCAAAAAACCCGGTCGTTGGTGTCACATGAGGATACCGGAAGAGGTGGGGTCGTTACCGGAAGTGGGTATTATAATACAAATATTATATTATATTATATTATATTATATTATATTATATTATATTATAGTGACAGTGTTTCATTATGTTATTTTCAGCAAATCTGTATAAGGCTATTTTTAAAAAACGTATAGGTGGATGAGAATCCATGAGTGGTTCTTCCATCCAAAATCATCTTCTAAAACTTTTAAAAATTATGACATGCATGTTTAAAGAGCTATCCGTGACATCTTAGTTGCATATTTCAAATACTTTCTGAGATTTTTCTAGGAGCAAAAAAATTGCCATCAACCTACTTTAAGAACATTTTTTTGAATTTTAAAATGTTCAGTTTGAATGACAATGTGTCTTTAACTATTACAGCGAAAACCTGAAATTTTATATTTGGAGAACTATTTTATTTTGAAACTCCAAAACACTGTCCATTAATTTATTTCATTTAATTTGCTTTTATCAGTTGCAAAAGTTCAAAGTGAATAACATTATTTTTATAATTTTTGTGCTCAAGTACTTCATATTGAAAGTGTTCCACATGTTTACTTCTGTGTTGTTGTGACCTGCAGCTACACGTGGTTCAGAAAATATCACCAGCTGATTTCTGTTTTATCTTTTTGTTGTTGTAAATGTGCTTAAAAATGTGACTTTTTGTGATGGTTTCAGATTTTTTTCATATTTCCACTCATCCATAATCAGATATTATTTGAGCTACTTGTCTTAACATTACAGATTCTGAATCAATTACGTGATGAGACACAACAGTGAAAAAGTCAGCCTTTTATTTTAGATCGTTCCTGAGATACTCATGTTCAAACAGCCTCAAATTGTCATTTATAAAGTCCACTGACATCTTTTGTTTTTAAATTTTCACTGTTTCACTATTTTTGCACATGTTGACCTGTTGCACTATAATCATTGCACACGCTTTTTATTTGTTACATAGCTGTTTATAGTGCAGTAATAAATATTTGTTTATTAAACAAACACATTTTGTCTCCTTGCTGCGCGGCAAGGTGACGTCACACTTCCTGTTTTCCTGCCTGTAGCTGACTGTTTGTGTTCTGCAGCTGTTCTCGGCTCTTTCTCAACTATTATTAAACTGTTAAACTGTGCCTCATAACACTAAAACCCGTCTGGACGGTAAATCAAACCACTACACGGGCTGCTCCTCAAGCGCTTCTATGCAAAACCGCTGCACGGCTATAATATAACGCGGTGTTTGGCTCTGTTAGCCTAGCAGCTAACTAGCCAGACATGGCTTCTCTCCTGCACAGTGTGCCTCATGTTTAGCTTCTCCTCCGCCTCCTTTAGCGATAATGGTTCGTGTCAGAAATGCAGTTTGTTCGTAGCCCTGGAGGCGAGACCCAGCGAACTAGAGGCACAGCTCCGTACCGTGTTCAACCCGGTAAATGTAGCAGCTAGTCGGTACGGAGCTGCCTAGCTTAGCTCCTGCTAGCCGGGCTGGGTGACCGTCCGTAGGAACATTAACAACAGAAGGGCTGTTCATTACAACCTTCTCCAAATTAATGCAACTCCATCACAATAAAAAAAAACGAGCAATTAAATGTGGACTGTTAAGTATTAGAGCTCTGTCAGCTAAGTCTATTTTAGTTAATGATCTGATAACAGATCATCATATTGATGTGTGTGACTGAAACCTGGTTATGAAGAATACTTCAGTCTGAATGAATCAGTCACGTTCATGTTCATGTACCTGGAGGTACAGGCAATCCTCCACTCTAGCCTATTAATCAACCAGAGACCAAAACTTATATATAATTAGAATTTGTTTGAAAGCCTTCGTCTTAGTCTCACTCACTTGAATTGGAAAGCACAGAAACCAGTTGTGTTAGTTGTTATATATCGACCACCGGGCCGACTCTGAGGTTCTATGTGAATTCTCAGAGTTCTCAGCTGACTCAGTGCTCAGCGCACATAAAGTGATTATAGCAGGTGACTTTAATATCCATGTAGATGATGAGAACGACAGCCTCAGCTCTGCATTTAGTTCATTGTTAGACTCAGGTGGCTTCTCTCACAATGTCAATAAACCAACTCAGAGCTTTAACACTTGATCTTGTTCTGACATATGGCATAGACATCGAACAACAAAACTCTGTCCTCTCTGATCATTCTTAGTAACATTTGAATTTACAATAAAAGACTACGGATCATCTACCAAAGAGTTCCATTACAGCAGATGTCTGTCTGATAACACAGTAACTACATTTAAGGAAATGGTTCATTATTATTTACTTCAATGCCAACACAATGGAGAGCAGCTCCTCTGGTCTTAGTCCCACACAGGTGGATCATCTGGTTGGTAGAACTGCAGCTTTACTGCCTTCATCAACTGATGCTGTTGCCTCACTGAAAAAGAAGCCAATAAATGATCATAAAACAGCTCCGTGGTCGAGTCAGCAGCTGTGCATCTATAAACACAAAACTAAGAAGGTTAGAAAGACAGTGGAGCTCTAGCAAGTCAGAAGAACCTCATCCAGCCTGGAAAGACAGTTTCCTCTCCTGTAAAACAGTGATCCGCAGGACGAGAACTGCCTACTATTCATGCTTACTGAGGAAAACTTCAGCTCTCAGCAGTGAAGACGTCATGACCTTCTTCACTGATGAAGTCTGAATATGAGACAGAAACTCATGAACATGTGTGTAGGTGCAGCAGCAGCTCTGGATGCATCCATAGGACCAGATCTATACTGTGACTGCTTCTCTGCTGTGAACCTGTCAGAGCTCACGTCCATGGGAAACTCTTCTGAACCAGCAGCATGTCTGTTGGACCCAATCCCAGCTAGACTATTGAAGGACGTCTTCCCTCTAATAAATACTGCAGTATTAACTATCATCAGCTTCTCTATATTAACAGGCTACGTAGGCTTTTAAAGTAGCTCTAATTAAACCACTGCTCACAAAGCCTGCTCTAGATCCAGCTGTTCTAGCTACAGGCCCAGATCCAACCTCCCTTTGATTTCTAAGAGTCTTGAAAAAGTTGTTGCAGCCAATTATGTGATTATCTGCATAGAAATGGTTTGTCTGAAGAGTTTCAGTCAGGATGTAGAATGAATCATAGCACAGAGACACACTGGTGAAGGTCACTAATGATCTCCTTATAGCTTCAGACAGTGGACTAGTTTCTGGACTGGTTCTACTGGATCTCAGTGCTGCATCTGATCCAGTGGATCACAGCATCTGATTACAAAGACTGGAATGTTTATTGGGCTTAAAGGAACTGCACTAAACTGGTTTAAATCATGTTTATCAGACAGATTCCAGTTTGTTCATGTTAATGATAGTTCTTCCACCCGCAGTAGAGTTAGTGATGGAGTTCCACAGGGCTCTGTGTCAGGACCTATATTATTTACCTTGTACATGCTCCCTTTAGGCAACATTATTAGGAAGCACTGCATAAATTCTCCTGTATCAGCTTCTCTTCAGTGGCTTCCTGTAAAATCCAGGATAGAATCTAAATCCTGCTTCTAACATATAAACTCTCCATGAGCAGCTCCATGTGACCTTACAGACCTCATGGTACCGTATCATCCTAACAGAACCCTTCGCTCTCAGACTGCAGGTCTACTGGTGGTTCCAGAGTCTCCAGAACCAGAATGGGAGGCAGAGCCTTCAGTTATCAGCGCCTCTGTTGTGGATCAGCTCCCAGTCTGGGTTCTGGAGGCAGACACCCTCCCTGCTTTATAAAGCTGATAGTTAGAGCTGCTCAGGATCACCTGAACTGTCCTTGAGTTGTGCTGCTGTAGCTTCAGACTGCGGGGGATTCCCATGATGCACTGGGCTCCTCTCTCTTCCTTCCATACAGTTATAACCACCATTACATGTCACTAACTCTGTGCTTGTTCTCTCTGCAGACGTCTCTGATCTACAGTTTCTGTTCTCACCCACCTCCAGAATACTTATTGTTCTGTTCTACTGCTGCTCTCCATCAGCTGTCCTGCTATCCCCACCCCCTATAGTTATATGCTGTAAACTGTGCCATGCAAATGAACTGAAATTTTAATTGAATTGTTACCTCAGTGTGTGTGAGTAGATGTGAGGATCCGTGTTTGAATGAGTTCGTTCTGTAAATGGAGTTTGATTGCACTGATTACTGATGATTTCTGGTGAATTCTTTATCTGCTTTATCAGATAAATCAGTTCTGATGAATCAGTGAAGATCTCAAGCTTTACAAGAAGTAACTATATAAATATCTAAACACTGTATGGCATCGATCTTCACCAACTGCTCCAGCCGGCATTGTAAAGCTGACGATGGAGGCTAGTATGCTAATGCTGCTCCAACAAAAGGGGACCCTGGGCGCTGATGCTTTCCTTTGACATGCGTCTAACACCTCCACCCCAGCTCTCTTTACCTGGACGACTGCAGCTGGGAGCCCCTCCACATACATGTAAATCACATCATGTAAAATAGGTCACATTCACTGAGAGGTTTCCTTCAGTCTGTTTGACTAGAATAAAACATTTACAGTCAGATTCATTAATTCCTGCAGAACTCTGAACATTTAAAAAAGTTGTTTTTAAAAAAGAAAGTGAAATCAGGGCAACAAATATAACCAAAATAATGTCATTGTAAAAAAAAATATAAGTGTAAAATGTAGGCTAATACGGTTCAAATTCATTATTTACTTCACAGTGCTGAAGCTTCATCCAAGAAATGATAAAAATGCACTAAAACATGTCATTTTACTGACCACATGACAGTTTGAAGTACAATCCAAATGACTCTTTGGATATCTGAAGGAGTTTCACACGTCGGATACTGGAAATTTAAATCATAACTGGAAACAGATGAACTGGGAACGCCTGAGACGTTCATTTTGACGATATTAAATTAGAGATATCTGCAATATACATATAAATAACCACTCTATTACATGTTAACACTCATCCACTTTATATTTAGGAATTTACGTCTGTAGCCTGAGATACTTTAAATGATCCTTCATATTTAAAACCAAAGAGAACAGTTCCTGACATGATTAACTCAAGCAGAGCCACTTACAGCAGCTGTGTTTTAGTGTTTTTGTGCTTTTATTTGATGGTTATGGAGGAAATAACCTGCAGCAGATGGTCCCGGTAGTGAGAACATTACCAGCTTCCTTTCTTATCAAACTGACCGATAAGAATGTAATTTTAATTTGTAATTCTGAATGTGGTTCAGTTAAAGACCGTGGTTGTGACTTAATATGAAATGTAGTGACTTTTATTCATCAGTTCAGTGTTATTCTGTCGGTAATGTCAAATTATAGAAGCATTGTTTTAACTTTTCTTCCTAAATGTGGTGAAAACTCAACTTTACAAACGTTTAAAAAGTCTGTTTTGTGAGCCATTTTACCACCAAGAGCTATCAGTAGCTGAAAGGAAAGCTTACAATATTTTATTTTATTTTTTTAATAAATCTTTTTGGGTTTTTTTTTCTGTTATTTTCATATTGTGAAGGCTCTCGCTGCTTTAAACGCCTCTTGTGTCTCAATATGAAACGTACTGACCTACATTTTACAATCACAATAAATGTATGCATCACAGCAGCCAATAATTAATCAGGTTTCCAATATTTAATCAATACACTGTGGTATAATCAGCCAAAATGCCAAACCATGCGAGTTTTGTGTTAGTATTTTGACTTGTGGTGTGAAAGCAGCTGCTGGAGCTGTGTTTCTGTGCGTCCCCTGAAGAATCTTCTTGTTTTTTCACCGCAGACAGAAGCCGCTGCTTTGCTCCGCCGCTAGAAAACAAACGGTTAAAGCGTAACCGGACACATCAAGACGTTTGTCTCCCCCAACAGCGAACAAAGGAGCCTTTTCGCGCCGTGAGTTTAAAACCCCGCCGCAGCCAATCAGCGCTCAGATGACGCACACTAACTTGATGGCTTGACCTCACGGGATTCGGCCAATCGCGGCGACACATTCGTCCTGTCGTCCGCGTTCAAATATGAATGCGGAATTATGACCAATCAGATCGAGGCGAGGGGAGGCGCTAAGGAACTAGTTCTAGGCAAGTTAGTTGGGCCTCGCAGACGGTGACAAAACAGTTGCGCGTCCTTCCTCATTCACTCGTTTACAAGTTCTCTCGCTGAGAACAGGTAAGGTTCGCTCTTTTTACCGCTTTATCTTTATATTTTTGGTATTTAAAGTTTTAGTCGGTTCCATGCGTTAATATAAAAGGCAACCAGCTTGTGTTTTCGCAGCTTTACGGAAATTACATTCATTTTATTTAACTAACTGTTTGAATTTAAGTATTTTGAATGTTGTCATAAATCACCTTAATCGTGTTTGAGAGGGAAACCGTCGGATTGTGCTCGTTTAAACGAACAAACTGCGAAGTTCGGGTCTGTTGTAATGGCGGTTCAGGCCGACCAAGTTAGTGCGCAACATGCAGTTCAAACGCCATTTGGTTTGGTAGCGTAGCCCGCTAACCGACGGCCGCTCGGCTACGGGTTTGAGTTTGAATGAAGTCTCGGTTCGGTTCGGCCTCGGGCTCCGCTGTCGGCTGCTTACAGCTGCAGCGTGCTTGTTTGTACGGGACTGAACCGGTTCGTACTGGGTCACTTTGTTGGGTAAGTTTCAGGGCGCAGTCTTGGTTTAGGCGGGAAGATACAAAATGGAGTCGCGTCTTTTTGTCCCAGAGAGGCAGAAATCCGATTAGAGCCTTAAAAGAGCCTCCGGGCGGCCGCTCGCTCCGTTTGTGCCGCAAAAACACAACTTACAGCCGCCGACGACGAATGTGTGAATATTTGTTCTGATCGAGATTAACTTAATTAAAAGTTTACATCCGTATATGAGCGTGAAGTTAGTTTATTCCACCGAAGTAGGCCCGTAGCGCGAATAGTTTTGTTTTGGGTTTCATGTGATGTTTTTTTCTTTTGTTTGTAGATTGATCGCAGCCATGACAAAGGACCCAAACAAGCCGAGAGGAAAAACCTCCTCCTACGCCTACTTTGTCCAGACCTGCCGCGAGGAGCACAAGAAGAAGCACCCGGGGACCAGCGTCAGCTTCGCGGAGTTCTCCAAGAGATGCTCCGAGAGATGGAAGGTGAGCTGCGGTCACGGATTTTATCGCGAGAATTCACCAAATGCACGCTGATATCTGTTCTCTGGGTGGTGTTTTAGTGTCGCTGCACTGTGAAGTTAAGGCGTCTGTTATCAGGGGGATTCCAGACTGCAGCTGCAGCAGTCATGTCGTTTCTGCCCATTTCACCAAAAGAAATATTTCTTATTTTGAGTGCTAGTCACCACCATTTAATCAAATATGGAGAGGAGATAACCCGTGTTTATATCATCTGTATTTATGAAGTTCATAAGGCTGAATGTCTGAATTTTAAGGTTTTTCTCCTGTATTGTGTAGACCATGTCACCCAAGGAGAAGGTGAAGTTCGAGGACATGGCCAAAAATGACAAGATTCGATATGACAGAGAGATGAAGTCCTACGTCCCCCCTAAAGGCACCAAGAAGGGCAAGAAGAAGAAGGACCCCAACGCCCCAAAGAGGCCACCGTGAGTGTTACATTTCATTTATTTATTTATTTATTTTTTTAGAGAAATTCAGATTAGTTTGCGTGCAGGAGTAAACACACCAGCCATTAAACTCCCTCCCTGTTGTGAATCCACAGCTCCGCTTTCTTCGTGTTCTGCGCGGACCACCGCTCCAGGATCAAGGAAGACAACCCTGGGATCTCCATCGGCGACACCGCCAAGAAGCTCGGCGAGATGTGGGCCACGCAGAGTTCCAAAGACAAGGCTCCCTACGAGGCCAAGGCCGCCAAGCTGAAGGAGAAATACGAGAGGGTACCCACACGTTTACATCTGCATGGCGGCGGTTGTTTCTCTTATATGTAGTTATTACGGTGTAATAAGTGTATTGTTGTCTTGCAGGATGTCGCCGCCTACAAAGCCAAGAGCGGCTCAGGAAAGAGCGATGCTGGTAAGAAGAGCGGTCCCGGCAGGCCCGCCGCCAAGAAGGCAGAACCAGCCGATGACGACGATGATGATGACGATGACGAGGACGACGACGAGGAGGAAGATGAAGACGACGATGATGAGGATGACGACTAAGTGTGTTAAAGGATGTGAAGTTTGCAATGCATTGTTCAGCTTAACTCCTGTTTGTTTGTGGATGATTCCAACAGTATAGCCTGCTGTCCCTGTCGGTCTGCCTCTGTAGGGGCGGACCTGTACTCCTTTTCCAATTCAGGGATTTAGTTTTTGTTGCTTAGTCCCCTTATGATTTGTTTTTTTTTTTTTTTTTTTTTAAGTTTTTCTGCTGAGCTCGGGTTCGTTGCATCTTGGAGCCTGTCGCTGTTTGAACAGGCAGCCAGATATAAAGTTCCTGTGATGAAATGACGGACTGAGACTCCTGTGCAGGCAGTTGGACAGCAGCAAGTCAAGTTGTTCTGTTGTTGTTTTTTTTTTTTTTTAAAAAGAAATTATTGTTTCTGGAAGCACTGCTTATGTTTTCTGTTGTAGTGGTGCTGTTTCTTCACTGTCATTTTACTACCAGGATTTATCTGTAGTTTGATTCAAGATGTTTGCAGCCATTTTTAATGTGGAACTTTGAAGACTTGTAGAACGAATTTTTCTTTTGTAATAAAATTTTGTATATTGATTATAAATGTGTGGAAATGGGATTCATTAAGTTTGGAATAAATGAGCTGAGAAGGTGATTCAGCTGTTCAGGGTTCTGATTCATGTGAAGGTTTGAATTCCAGATGGAGTTTAAAGTCAGGAAGTTTGACATCAGGTTGTAGCTTCAGTCCTCTAGACAGTGAAACACAGGTGAACACAGGTGTTAATCACTTAATGAAGCTCTTTAGGTGCAGAGCTCTGATTAGTGACGGTAACACCTGTGCTCACCTGCTGCCTCCCGTCATGGTGTTTAAAGGCCACTTAAGTGATGTTTTCTGAAAAGCGTCTTCCCAACAAGCTGCGATGGCGACGGAGGTTTGGCTCGCCTGAGTCCAGGTGAGACGAGAACATCTGGGGACAAATGAGGTCACGTTCAACCACAAATGTCTAATCTCAGATTTTCAAACTAAAAAGTAGTTTCAGAGATCTGTGATATTTAAAAATACACAGTGAAGTTGAAGATGTCCACAAATAAAACTGATATAAATCATGATGTGTATTAATCAGAAGAGACGTCCCTACTGGTGACCGCCGCATTAGTTATTTAAATCATGCTGTCAGTAATCAGCTCAGTTCTCATTCTAATGTCTATAAATGACATGTTTACTGGTCATAATATATTTGTGAGTTTTAAAATTACAACATGGAAGTTCATATTCTGACCAGGAACTAGTGAACTGTGGATGTCTGCAACGCTTTACTTTCTTTGTTTTTGGAGATTTTCAGAATCAACACACAAATAGCAAAAAGAAAACTGAAGCTAAAAGCATTGTGTATTTATTTTTGGGGGTATTTTTACTTCTTTTTTCCTTTTTTCTTTGTTCATATGTGTCATTATGAACTGTTTCAGATCCTACAAACTGTGTTACTGAATATTTATTGTTATGTTGTTACTACTACTACTACTACTAATAATAATAATAGTTTACGTGGAATAAACTTTGATGTTGCACAGAGTCACCCTGAAAACATTAAAAAGACGTATAATTTCATTTTGAGCTTTTTCTGAGTCATCATATATTCTTATGAGTCCGCTTTACATTTTATTTTTTTAGTTTTAGTCTTTTAGTTTTTTTTTTTTTTTTTTTTGGTGGGATTAAATATGTTGTGCAGGCTATGCAGAATGCTGTCCGTTATGCTGATCAGTTTGACTCCTGAAAAAACAGATGAAATCTGAATGGACCCTGGTTGGTCCTCACTAATATAATCACAGGTTTCACTGGCTGTTCACACGTATATGTAGGATATAAATAGCAACATTTTACAGAGCCAAATCATATGTTCTTATTTAAAGTCTTGTTAAATTCATTGCTTGTCTAAATTATAGACATCCACAACAAACTGCCTGTCAGTGTAAAAACGGATGAAATCTGAATGAACTCTGGTTGGTTGGCTCTAATTTTAACACACACACAGACTCACACGCTTGTGATACTCTGGACATGTCAGTAGTGTAAATATAGGAAGCTGTTTTAACAAAACAAGGGTCTACTGACTGTTTATTTTACTACATCAATAGTAGAATTTCTCTGAGTCATAAAACATGTTAATTAATTAATCACAGTGACTTTTCAAGACAATACCACTGTTATTAGTAGCAATTAGTTATTCCAGGATTTCTGCAAATCTTGGTAAACCTGTTAAAATGCAACAGTTACATATATTCTAGATTAAATGTACTGTATATCTGGCGATAGAAATGTTTAATTTTAAAAACAGATGAAATCTGAATGGACCCTGGTGGGTTCACTAATATAAACACACATCATGGAGCACAGACTCACACACTTGTGGTTCTTTGTTGGGAGCCTTTTTCACATGACCAGGTTTCATTGACTGTTTGGCTGTATTCATGACGTCAGTAGTCCACAATATTTATGCTTGTTAGTCATCTATATTATAGATAAAATAAATACATGACTTGTCAGTGGAGCGTGTTGTAAAAACGGATGAAATCTGAATGGACCCTGGTTGGTTCACTACCACAATTACACATCATGTGGCACACACACTGATTGTTGTTACTGGGAGCTTTTCTCACTCATGGGTTCTCTGACTGTTCACAGGTGTATTTAGGATATAAAAAGCAAACTTCTACTGATTCCTATCATATATTCTCACATTCAGTGCTTTTCTGTGTTCTAGACATCCACAACTAAACTGCGCCTGTCAGTGTAAAAACGGATGAAATCTGAATGGACTCTGGTGGGGGGGGGGGTGTCACTAATATAATCACACATCATGTAGCACAGACTCACACACTTGTGGTTGTGTGTCGTTGACGCTGCAGGCAGCCAATAGCTGATCACGATGATTCCTCCCGCGGACCAATCAGCGCCGCCGTTACAGCCCACCTCACGCGGAGGACGGTGATCGGTTCATTTCAGCACCTGGGAGCTGTCCGCGGTGCACGAGCCTGACGGTGAGGACACACACACGCGCGCGCGCAGACACAGACACAGACACAGACACACACACACACACACACACACACTGAATCACGAACACACACTCTCAAGTGTGACCGCTGTGGTCCGCGCGCACAGAAAACCCGCCGCCGCCGCCGTGCGCGACCCCGCCGCCACGCGCAGGTGTGTCTCATGCACGGATTAGTTGGAGCTGAAACCTGTTGATGCAGCTTGGAGGATCGATCGTCGGCCTCATCGATACGATCAGGTATTTATCAGCCGCTTCTGTCCGCACAGGTGGAACCTGCTGATCCGACGGCGAGACGCGCGCGCGCGTCCTGGTCAGGGCCGGCCCTGACCAATTTGGTGCCCCAGGCAAGATGGTAGTCAGCGCCCCTAGCATCACAGTGAATTTCACTCCTAATTTTCATACAGTAACACAAACTGTATGCATGTATTCAAGCTTTTATTTAAGTAGAAACAACACAATAAATGAAACTGAAGCAACAAGTCTTTGCCACACTCCCTGGCTAACTGACATGTATTCAGGCAAATATTTAACCACAAGCGCCGATGCGGGTCCTCTACCGTGGTCTTCAAACGTTAGCAGCTAACGTCTTTGCTGCTAACGTTAGCAGCTAAGACGCTAACGTAACGTCTTTGCTGCTAACGTCTTTGCTGCTAACGTCTTTGCTGCTAACGTTAGCAGCTAAGACGCTAACGTAACGTCTTTACTCCGAACGTTAGCAGCTAAGACGCTGCCGTTTTCGCTAACGTCTTCGCTGCTAACGTTAGCAGCTAAAACGCTAACGTAGCGTCTTTACTGCAAACGTTAGCAGCTAAGACGCTAACGTA